ACGCTGGGGGGGGGGGGGGTTTCTGGGTGTTGAATGTCCAACGGTCTTAAAGTTGCCAAGATTGAGAAACACTGGTTTAGAGATTTGTCAAAGGGGGCCACTGAGGACCGAATGGCTGAGTTCACACAATTCTCCAAGCCCTAAAACGGTTCGCCCAACTCAGCGGACGTGTTCACGGAACATGCAAGGAGAGATCCCTGATGTTCTGCGGCCATTTGCCCACGGGGACCACTAGTCTCTTCCTAGCGTCTCCCACCCGTGGCTGAAAGGAGAAAAAGCCTGTGACTTCGGTACGATGATGGTTGGACGGCTCTAGAAACAGGTCCTCAAACTTTTTGAGGCTGCAGAACCTGTCTAAAAAAAATTCTCGGAACTTGATTGAGAGGCAAAGCTCTAGTAACAGAAGATGGGTGGTATGTGCATGAAAAACTGGGCACTAGAAGTCTGTCGTTCCCTTGTGGTTGGTTCACATCACACACCAAACCAGTGTTCCTCAACCTCAGCAACTTTGAGATGGGTGGACTTCAACTCCCAGAATTCCCCAGCCAGCATGGGCAGTGCAGAGAATTCTGGAACTTGAAAACGGCCCTTTCTGCAAGTAGATTTGGGCTCCCAGAATTCCCCAGCCGGCAGATTCATTGCTGAGAATTCCAGGAGGTAAAGATCACCTTTCCAACAAGTAGACTTCAATTCCCATAATTCCCCAACCAGCATGGCCATCGCTGAGAATTCTGGGAGTTGAAGATTTCCCTTCCAAAAAGTAGACTTAGGTTCCCAGGATTCCCCAGCCAGCATGGCCAACAGTCAAGTGCTAAGACAACTACGGCTGGCTGGATTCTGTTCCTGCTCACCTTGGGTGTGCATTTTACACTGCTCACCCGTTGTAAAAAAGGCAGTGGTCCGTTTCACACGGGGGTTGAGGTCTAAACTGTGCACAAAGGAGGAGGAGGAGGAGGAGGAGGAGGAGGGTTTCTGCCTCCCTGCTGTCCTTGGGTCTTGAAATTTTTCTGAAGCTTTTGGAAATATAAAAGTGGTTGAAATCTCACGGGAAGGCCCCGTTTCTCGAGGAGTCTCTGTTCTCGCGTTCCATCTGTAAGAATGCAGGCGAGCGTTACAAGCTTTCAACACTCTTGCCCAAAATAAATGTGAATTCTCTTGAAAATCACAAGATTCCAGAGCTTAGCAGAAGGAGGCTGTTGAAATCTTGCTAAGCCTGGCGTTATTGTGAAATTCATATCATATATACATATATATGATATACGTATCATGTGTGTGCGTGCGTGTACACACACACACACACACCTTTTCAAAATCCCTACTGAAGAAGCCACCGTGCCTAATTTGTGTGTCAGAAATGGTGGTGAGCTCTCGCCTCCTAGTCTCGCGTTCCAACAGGAGACAGCCCAAAGAGAGAGAGAAAAAAGGCTTTCTCTAGTTTGTACCCAAGACTGGTGGGTCAGAGGTAGAGTGCTACTGGAGAGAGGAGCTCTGCTTAGCTGGCATAGCTCACAGAGAAAGATGGGGGGGGCTTAATCCAGTAATGCGTCAATTTCACAAGGAACCATTGCAACGCTGAATGCTCAGATGGGTTTAGCATTAACACGTGCCCCAAGTATGAACACGCGCGCACGCACACACACACACACACAGAGAAGTTGTGTTCACCCAGCGCATACACAGAGGTTGCGTTCGCCCGGTTATTGAACTAACTCCTCTTCTAGGTTTTGAACACCCCGAACCATAAACTGACCCGTTGGGCAGGACTCCCGCAACGTGCTGAGCAACCGAAACTAACCGAGCTTAGATGTTTGTAGGGAAACAGCCTCTGGGTTTGTAACCGTGCTGGGCAGTTGTGCCAAGACAGTCCCCGCTGCTGCCCTTTGTGCTTTCCCGGCCTGGAAAGAGCTGGAAGAGCAGAGCTTCAAATAAAAGCAGCCGTCCGTTTTGCCAGCCCGGTTCCTGCTCCTGCCCACCGGCTTAACAGCGCGTGCCAAGGGTAAGGCAAGCGGAGGGCAGTTCCACCGGCTCGTTCGGGGCTAAAGCTACAGTCCTTAATTTTCCTCCAAAAAAGCACACATTTATGGCGCTGCATTTAAGGTGCCAGCGCAGCCGGGCACCGATAGAACAAGATCGGAAAGTCACAGCCGGATGGCTTCTGTTTCGTAATCAGCAAAAGAGCTCTCCTCGGACGGGTTTGCCTGTTATTAAACCTCTGTGCTTAGAGAAGGATTTTCAAAATTGCTTCTGACTCATTCCATTGCAATGCCCGAGAAGGTAATTCAGTGATTAACAGCCTCAGCTGGTATGTTCGGAAACTCTGTCTCTCTGGCTGAGTGCCTGCTCTTCGCTCACTTCCTTCCAAAGGACAGGAAAGGGTGGAGGAGAAACTGGCTTCCATCGGAGCCATTCTTGTGGAGGTCCCTCTGCAACCCCAAATGAAAAAGCTTGGCAGAGCCAACCTCTCTCAGAGGACTCCTGTTGCAATCCTGTGTGAGTCACACCGTCCTGAGTTTCTGCCTTGTGCCAGGATGCATACATCATCCTGTGCCAATGAGAAAGAAATGGGGCTCAGCTACCAGAGGTTTGGGAGATACTGGGGGGGGGGGGGGGGGGGGG